TTCGTGTTCATGAACCTGACCAGAAGGGAATGACAGGAAGATGCTGAAGAGGTCTCCTGGAAGTTAGGAGGAAGTTTCAAGGATGGTCAGGAGCAATTGTTTTAAGTGGCCCTGAGATGTAAAAAGGGAGCAGGAGTGAAGTGAGATTTGGCAGATTGAAATCATTTAGCCCAGGTTTGAAGTGGTGCCACACCAGGTCCTTGCAGGAGAGTCACCAGATAACTGATGGCGATGGCAGGCTCATTGTACAGAAAATTGAGGTTTTTTTTTTTTTAAATGAAATTTAATTTTGGAAATATAATGGGAGCATTCCATTTATACTTTAATTTTAAGAAGGCATGTTTTGTATTGCTTTCTAAAACTAATGCAGTAATGTACCTTTAACTCTGGGGCATGCGGCAATGTCTGCTGTGTCACCTGATAGACATTCAGTAAAGCTCTTTTAGAGCTCATTTATTTTTCATAGCCCTGCAAGTTCATAAAATAGTCATGGCTTATATCCATATCTTATTTTGCAGCATGTTCCAAGGTATTAGGAAAGAGTTTGTGAGGAAGCAGACCTGTCTCAAAGATGATAAGTTCTGCCTTTTAAGTTAATAGTAAAACAATTAATAAAAAGAATCGGAACCCTCTTTTTTTCTGCAGAGTAAATGTCCTTATGGCCCTCAGGCTGTCAGAATCATTTTAGATTTTGAAATTTTCATGTAGGATTCCTCTTGTTAGAGTTAAGAATATTTCACTTTTTCAGAGGACTCAGCATTGGCCAGGAAACAYGTCAGATTACTTAGTTCACTGAGATTCATTTACTTATTACTGTGTCATTATGATAGGATTAGGACCTTGCGATGAGGCTTAGATTCACAGAACAGAGAACCTGCACAKACCAGGTTGCACAGATTTCCATGATGTGAGGCAGCTAGTTAGAGGTAGTGATCCATTGTTAAATTCATTTCCTGTTCCAAGACCTCAGTGTAAACCCCCAGAGCTAGTTTCTGAGCCAGTGTTGGAGTGCCCTCTGGAGGCACAGGGAACACTCAAGTTTTTTGTAAAAACCAAAGTTGAGACTCGCWTGTGAGATGGAAGCAGAGAAGAGCTGGGGCCCAGGAGCTTGCCAGGCAGACTGAGAACGCAGTGAGGGTAGAACAAGGAGGCAAACAGTGTGGCCAGCAGTATCCAGTGAGATATAGAACAGAAAGTGTCCTTGGATGGGTCAAGAGGAAGCCAGTACTGGGAGGAATGTCAGTGGTGTGGTGAATAGGAAATGAAATAGTAGAAACCAGGAAAGTCAGTCTTTAAAAGGCCTGTTGGGGTTAGTGGGGGAGGAAGAGTATGGCAGCTAAAGAAGGCATAGGATCAAGTGTGTTTTTATGTAGTGTTTTGCATTGTGCTGAAGGGACAAAACAAGATGAAAGGTGTGGGGTGGGGGAGGAGAGAGTTGGCTGAGGCATTCCTCACCTGGGAGACTTGGTGGGGGAAGAGATTGCTTCCCCAGGGGCTCTACAAGTGGGGGAGTAGGGATTTCCTATTCACTGTGGGATAATGGGAAATGTTTTTGATGGCAGACAGAGGTGCAGGTGAGAAGGCAAGACTGGCATGTGAGGGTGTGACCTTCTCATCATGCGCTAGCATCTTCTTTGTTGATCTGAGAACTGGACTCAAGACTGACCTTTAGAGGATACCTGTATTTAGGAATAGGAATAAAAGAAATGATAAAAGCACTGAGCAAGGCCAGAGAAGAAGGGAGAATGTGTTGAATTGGGCCAGAGACATATAAACTGGGAGTCAGAAGGATGTGAGGAATGGCCTTGAGATTTGACAAGGGGAAAGCCATGTTGAGCAGTTTTGTAGAAGTGACTGGTGGGGTGCATCAATAGGGCGCATGGGAGGCACATAGACTGTGCTCATGGAGAAGCTGAGCATCCAGCTGAAGCCACCGGGGTCAGGAGCTGGCTGTGGAGGACAACTGGAGAGTGAATCTGTGCATATACTTAGCATAGTCTGCATGGCTAACACCATTATCTCGGAGTATAAGATCTATGTTTTGTAACTTTTCTGCTACCTCCTGTTTTTTTCAGGTTGAAAAACTGGGGAGTTGGTTTCTAAGTCAGCCTGTTCAGGTTTTGTTTTGTTTGTTTGTTTTCTGGTTCTAGGGATTGAGCCCAGGACACATTACCAYAGAGTCACATCTCCAGGCCCTCTTCCTCCTCTTATTTTGTTGCAGGGTCTCACTAAGTTGCTTAGGCTTGCAACTTGTGATCTTCCTGTCCCTGTCTCTCAACTAGCTGTACAGGCATGCACCACCATGCCCAGCCCAGTCTGCTCAGTGTTGAGGGGTAAGGCCTGCTGTGTAAGGTGTGCTCTCACACAGGGCCAGCTTAGCCTAGACATGGCCCCTGCCCTGGGACTGGTATGAAGACCTTTACCATATCATATTAAACTTAAGAAAATCCCCCATGTTTCCTATATAGTTAGCTTCTGTAGAACTATATGAGTTAAACTTTGACATTTATTAACTCTTGATTTTGCAATTTTTGTTTGCATTTTCTGTCCAGTAAATTTCATTTTAAAGTTTACAGCATCAGGTCTTAAGATGCTSATAGGCCCTAGGGACTGTGCCTATTGCCTGGGGATAATACATCCCTGTCCTGTTGGGAAGCAGACCTTAGGCTATGTCTAGGCTTGTCTGGCAGGGGAGGACTTGCTAGGAACCTGCTTGTTTGTGGGGCCAGAGTCTCTCCTGGGAAACCTTCATCCAAGGGGGAGTGGAAATAACAGTTGTGGTTAGAGAATCTTTGTTGTTGTTGAAAGAAATGAATTCATTCAGACTGCTTTAAGAAAAAGGGATTTGGGGCTGAGGTTGTGGCTCAGTGGTAGAGTACTTGCCTAGCCTGGGTGAGGCATTGGGTTCGATTTTCAACACCACATATAAATTAATAAATAGATAAAAGTCCATCAACAACTAATTTTTTTTTTTTTAAAAAGGGGGGGGGTATGTTGTAAGGATGCATATGGACTAGGAAGCCATCAGGAAAGAGGGAAAGAGGGCAGGTCAGAGGCCGCCTCAGGCTCTCTCAGGGACAGTAGGTCTCTGTGGCATCTCTTTTCTTTGTCTTTCTTCTCTTACTACCATTGGGCTCATTTTTTCCTACTCTGTATGTTTTTTCTCTACCTTAGCCTCTCTTTCCTGATGGGCTCTCCTTCCTTTTGACTTTGGTGTGCTGTGATTTCTTGTGACCTCTTCAGTCTTTTTGTATATCACAGCCTTTCAGCTTCATCTCACAGCTGATCATCTCATTCTCTCAGGATTGTTTAGATTCCTCAGAGAGAGAGAGAGTCTGAYTTTGTTTTGCTTTTATTATTGTTCAGAGCACATAGTAGTTCTTAGCTAAGCTCTTGGGTCTTGGTCTCATAAATTGTCATATGGCCCCTGCTAGCCTGGGTCTACCTTAAAGCTGAGGCAATTCTCGTTAGTAGGGTTTATATGCCCATAGGCACCATGATTGGCATTCTCAGTAAGGAGAAAAAACCCTGGCCTAGTATCAAAACCATTTGAAATTCTTCTACATGTATTCCTGCCCTTTTAAAATATATCCTACTAATAGCTTTATTCTAAGATAACCCTTTGTTCCCACAAAGAAACACTGATCCATAAATATGTTTAAAGCATTTTCACTCTTCCATTTTCTTTCTCTTTACTCTCTAACTGTGCAGTGCTGCTCAGTGTAGTCTGAAACCCTCTCATATTAGTGATTTCTGCTGCAAATGGATTTAGCAACTTCAGATAGTCTTTAGCAAGTTGGAGAGTTATTATTATTCTTTTTAATGGTACTGGGAATTGAATATAGGAGTGCTCTGTCACTGAGCTATATCCCTGGCCCTTTTTATTTTGAATCAGGGTCTCATTAAGTTCCCTAGGCTAGTCTTGAACTTGTGACTCAGATCTTTTATGTATTACTGTCCTCCAAAGTTCCAGGGAGCTGTATATATAGCATACAGTGATTCAGCACCATTCCCAGATTTACAGCATTTAGGGAAACAAGTAAATGTCCTATCCAAATGTAAACATGGCAGCAGTTTTGATACCTACGTCCCTTAATATATTGTACCTCCCAAGGAAGAGTTGAGTTATAAACTTTAAAAATAGACTTTGAAATCTGTACCCAAACAACTCTGAGTCATAGAATGTGGCAGAAGAGGAGGTAGTGGATGAAATAAAGTAATGATAATGATAGCTCATCTATGTTGAGCCCTTAAAATTTGGTAGCACTGTGTGTTTTTTTTTTAATATTTATTTTTTAGGTATAGTTGGACATAATACCTTTATTTTATTTATTTATTTTTATGTGATACTGAGAATCGAACCAGGGCCTTGCACATGCTAGGTGAGCATGCCACTGCTGAGCCACAACCCCAGTGCTGGTAGCACTGTTTTTTTTTTTTAAGTACTGATGCATTACTTATTTAATCCTTCAACTACTTTAAAAGATTTGATGTCTTTGTGATCTCTATTAATTCCATTTTGACCTTTTAGGTGAAAGTCACACAGCAAGGATGGTAAGGCCTGCCTGTGAACCCATTCTGTCTCATTTGTCTCCTTTAGTGCTCCTCTTGCCTGTAGAGTCAGTGACAAAACACTGCTGACTTTTTGCTCCCTGGGACTCTAGCCAGTCGGAGTCAGACATCCAATACCCACCAACCTACATCTTGGTTTGAATAAAATTCCCATCAGGAGGCTCATTGTGATACTAGGATTCCTATATTTTGAAAGTTGCACAGACTGCCTGGATTTCCCTTTCCATGATTTCTCAGTGTTTGCATCCCTTATTTGGTTTTCTATCCTTTGATCCTATACATTTATATAAACCCCAAATGTAAATGGTTCTGTCCTGTCTTGTGAGTGAATAGACTGTTCATAATGGCCAGTTCTTCAAAACACCTTGGGATCCCAAACTCTCCATAATGTAAATCTGCTTTTTTTTCTCTGCATCTCTCCCATCCAGCAGGATCCTCAGGCTGGAGGAAGTCACCTGCTCTTGCACCCTGCAGCCACTGTGGGCCCTGCCTCTGCCTCCTCTTCTGGAATGTCTTGAGGGTTCTGATTCCTGTCACTGTGGTAAGTTTCCCCTTATTTCACCATTTGTCTGAGATGGAGAATCCCCTTCACACGTTTTGAACTGAAGCTGATTTTCCTTGGGTTTTTTCTTTCTCCTTAGCCCTCCCCACCATCTCCTTAATTTTTAGCAGTGCTCTCAGGTTAGGGAGGAGGAAACTCCCAGACCTCATGCTTTTCCTTAACTTCCCTTCATTTGACTTTCATTCCAAGGATGGCAGAAGTACTGTTGCCCTGCCTCTTTGTCCAGAACTTTATTTTCTTCTTTTCACACAAACCATTAGTTACTAAGCTTTGCCCCATTTTCCTTTGTTATCTTGGAGGCTTTCCTTGCTTTCTAGGTCTTATGCCATCTCCTATTTCCTTGTTTCTCTCTTTTMTGAGATAGCAAAATGTTTTTTAAAAGCTGTTTATTGCTCCATAAATTTCTGGTGTTTTTCCCAAAGCTTGAACAGTGGCCTTTTCTAAATATGGGTTCCTGAAAACCATCTCACCTGGGGAGTGTGGTGGTACATCAGCCCCTATGTGAGCTCGATTCTGAGAACTGTCATGTACCCAGCACAAGTATCTTTTTTTCCTGTTTTCTTTTGAGCTTCTGGATCTGTGATCCTTTTTTAATGATCCTCATCCCCTTTGACTCAAGAAGACAACTTGTATCTAATGTGGGACAGGCTTGTTCATCTGATCTTGCTGAGATGCAGAATGCATAGTTGAATACTCTTTCCAGGCCCAGCTAGAAAACATGAGAAAGGGAAAACTGTCTCTCCCAAACCGTCTGCCTTTGGTGGGAGCATGCCGTTTGTCCTCTATTCTCCCACTGCCAGAGGTGGGTTTCTTAGGCCCTTGATGTCTCCCTTCCCTGACTTCACTCACTACCAGTGAGAATTGACTCAGTGAGGTAAAGGAYATTTCTGTGGCCTCTGTCTTAGTGGGACCAACGGTGCTGAGTTGGAAGGTTAAATCCATGTGGATGTGTGTTGTCTTCCCTCTCTCCTGGCTTGCGTGGCTGAGTGGTAAGGCATAGTCTGCTCCTGAAGGGAAAGTCTGGTCTGCCCTCTCTGTTCAGGTGTCCTGGATGGGTTTTCAGGTGATGCCTTGTTTGGAAGATGGGAGCAAGTGTGGCCTGGCATAATGTTCTCTGTCTCTTTTACTTTCTGGCTCTGTTCTCTTCCTGTCCTGACTTGGGAACTCTTGGCCTAGGCTTTATTCCAGGTGTTAAGACTGAAGGTTCAGGTCTAGAATTTTATGAATTCCTCTTCGTGCCAGTTATATATATTGGTCTCAAGCTCAAGGTTGCATCTAACATAGGAAAAACGGTTTTCCACATGAATTTGCTTAGCACAGGAGTGCTGCACTGGGAATTGGATTCATGGGCCCAGCTAATTACTAGTAAAGTGTTCACGTCTTGTAATTTTAGTTCAGTACTATGCATGAAGCCTGGGTGTTGAAGTAAGTTCTGTACAATGTGTTGTAACCATTCCCCCAACCCCTTCGGGAGAATAGGGTGGCAACACATCTGTGCATGCCAGTCTTGAGTTGTGATCACCAAGGCCCATTCAATGTCAGTATTCTTGCTTTCTATGACTCCTTGGCTGGAGGAAGTCGCCTGCTCTTGCACCTCATGCCTCCTGAATGAGCCTGGTCTGCATGGTGACCACCCTTGTTCATGCTCATGTTCATTTACTAGATGGTACAACTTACTTCAGAGCCAGACTCTGAAGTCCCTAGGGTAGTCAGATTTATAGAGATAAGGAAGAATGGGGGCTGCCAGGAGCTGGGAAGAGGGAGAAAAGTGAGGCTGTTCTTGAAGGGGGTTAGACTCTCACTTTTACAGGATAAACTATATTTAAAAATAGTTAAGATGGTAAATTTATGTTTCTGACCACAATTAAGAAAAATGCGTAAAATACAGCCAGCATGCCACATCCTTAACTTTAAATCTAGGCACTACTATGATGGGGAACTCCTGCTCCCAGCGTCACAGAGGATAGTCCTTCTACATACCCATTTGCCATTTCTGTCTCTTCTCCAAGGCCCAGTCAGTCTGTCTGGTTTCTTGTATACTTAGCTAACCTGGGGGTCTTGAGCTTTACAGCTTATTCTTTTTTCTCCTGGACCTGCCCCTTTGGCTCATGGTATAGCAGCGACAGGAAGACCTAGGTTTGACAGGTGGAGTCCTTCCCTGAGCACAGGAGCTGATCTGGCCTAGGCCTCCTGCACTGTCTTCCCTGTTCCCTCCCCTCCTAGTTCCTGGCTGGCCTAGGGATGAGAGACTGACCCCTTGAGAAGACAAGATGGAGTAGATTCGATTCAACTAAAGGCTAAGAAGTGGCAGAGAAGAGGGCATTTCCTAACATTCTGTTGTTTATTGTGCACTGATCCTCCATCTAGATCTCCTAGGGTGTCCTAAAAAGATTTTTTTTTCTCAGTGCTAGTGATAGAACCCGGGTCCTTGCAGCATTTAGGCTCTGCCACTAAGCTATATGCCCAGCCCCAAAATTCAGTTTTTTTATTTGCCCCATCTTGTTGTTCTTCCTGAGGGTAAAGTGATTACTATCTCCTTTGAGAGGTGGGCAAGAGTTTGCCCTGCATGACGACAGTAGCCTTCTTGCCTGTTTTGTTGCTGACTAAGCTGGGACTGATGGGAATAAATTACTGCCAGTGGTCACACAGCTACTGAGTATTTGACCGAGAATTTGAACTTAGGCCTTTTGCCTGCAAGTTCAGTATTCTCCCCACACATGTTGGGATTCTTACTGCTTATGAATGTTACACATTTACTAGGTAGATGAGATAAGCTGAGGCCATACACAATGCTCCCATGGGGGCCATCCCTGAAGGAAATCATCCTGCCTCATTATTCAGGGGTTTGAATGTGGTGAAGAGCAAGAAAAAAAGTAGTGGAGTGCAAACTGTGTCCTCACAGTCTCACTAAAGTCAGACTTGTAAAAACCACCTGTGTATAGAGGGCCAAGAAGGAGAAACTGGTGGGCGGAAGTAGGGAGGAGCAGGAGACAGACGCGCAGCATCAGCGCAGCTTCTGGCTTTGAGCAAAGGAGGAGCCCTCATCACCAGATTAAATCATCACGTCCTCAGGAGCCTCTGCCTATGAAATGACATTCTTGGCAGATGAAAGAACATGTCATGTGCTAATTAAAATACAGGAAACAAATATTTATTTAGCTCAGCCATGCACTGGGCCTTGTGAGTAGGTGCTTTCATATGCATTAGCTTTTCTAATCATCCCAGCAAAGTACTGAGATGGGGCTGTCCCTACGGGTGCAGATCTGACTGGGATCAGCCACAGATACACAGCAAGTGGCAGCACCAAGACAAGACCTGCACTCAGCTGGGTCATTCTGTAGGTTATTCCTGTGAGAGGACTTTGCTGAAGGAGGCAATGGGGTATCTGCCAGTGTCTTCCTTCTCAGACTCAGAAGAAAACTTGGCATCGTTCCCTTGATAATTTTTGTTGCTCTTCTGTGGACTGAATTTCAGTCTCTGGTAATTTCTAGTTAAAAGAAAAATCAGACACAGCTTCTTTGTCTTTTCTCCATTGGGAGTCATTGAACTGAGTCATGTGAAGAGCAGTTTTCCCTAGGACAAAATGAGAGCTTCTCTTCCCTATACCTCTTAAAACTCAGGGCCCAGTTGAACTGGGTCTCTGGGTCTTCTGTGAGAGAAACCAGAGGCCCTTGGACTTGAGGTTTGTAAGGTGTAAAGAAACATGAGCAGCAGTAAGGGAGGAGAAAAAAGAGGGGCAGGTGAGGGGCCCATGCGTGAGATGGATGGGGAAAGTGGGCTACAGGGAGGCTGAAGGACCATTGTTGTTGGACTCCCTTCTAGCGCTCAGGAGTCACACTGGATTCCCACAGTCTTTTCTGGTCAACTGGTGCTAGAGACAGACAAGGAGGCAGCAAAAGTGAAATAAAATCCTCTTCTGTCAGTAAACGAGCAAATGTTTTAGGAAGTCTGACCTTATTCCAAAAAGGAGAAGAGTAGATTCTGATTGAGCTTAAAGTTTTAGATGGGAAATCCTGATTGGAGTCATAACTACTTTTGACACATCTAAAAAGTTGATTAGAAAACCTTGGGGAGGGCTGGGGCTGTAGCTCAGTGGCAGAGCGCTTGCCAAGCATGCGTGAGGCATTGGGTTCAATCCTCAGCACCACATAAAAATAAACAAATAAAATAAAGGCATTCTGTCCACCTACAAACACAAAAACGTTAAAAAAAAAAAAAAACTTGGGGAAGTTTCTCCTGTTAGATTGGAGGCAGTGATTAATTATTAATGACACACTCTGGGCATGCTAGCCACTCCATGGGCACCGGGTGAGGGGCCGATTCCCATATTCAGAAGTGCACAGTGGAGTGCCAAGGTAGCTGAGAGGTGCAGGCCTTTGGAGGATAGAAGCTTGGACTGTGTCCTAGGGCCGTGCTACGATGATTGGCACCCCCTTTCTCCTACTGCCTTTAGCTTCCCTAGGGAGGATGAAGGAGGCCAAGACTGCACACTGAGAAAAACATTCTGGCCAGCAGACCTTCCCAGGAGCTATAGGCTGGAGTGTGAGGTGGGGGAACAGTAGCTGCAGGCCTTAACAGCCATGGAGTGGACTTGGAACAGTAGGCAGGCTCTTCTCCAGAGTTTCTTCAAGAGCCTGGTGAGAGGCCTGGGACTCAGGGTGGGGCTCACTGTGAATCTCACTGTGAACTTTGTTGGTGATGGGCCCAGGGCACTTGCAGAAGACCTCACATGAGGAAGAGCAGCCCTGGCATCTTCAGGAATGGAGTGCTAGGAAGAGTTTGGGAACTGGGCAGGGCTTTGGGGGGACGTGAGCCTGCCTGGGGCAGTGGATGGGTATCTTCCAGGCTACCAGCAACTTCACAGGACACTTAGTGAGCCATGGTGCTGATGAGTGAGGGACGGGGCTGCTGCAGTGAGCTCAATGCACAGCTGAGCAGGGGTCAAGTGACCTGAGCTCCCCCAAGCTCGTTCCTTGTAT